AAAAATGTCAACACACAATTAACGATGTTTCAATTTTAGATGTTACCGCTTAAATATGAGGGCTGAATGGGGGACTTCAAATATTTATTTTAATCTTTTTTGTCCATAATTTGATTTCTTTTCGTTTATATTTAAGCACCATTTTAAATCTTTATTCTTTTAAGTTAAAAATAATATAAGGACATGTTTCTGTATTCTGTAAACCTCACCCAGACCCTCATATACTAGGAATTATACTTCAAAAAAATTTATAATTTACTAGCTCGTGAAATGGATTATTATCTATTCTACTGGTTTTGTTTGGGGTGGGATTAAAACATTTCGGCTTCTTTTGACTCCGACATATTTAGAAAAGTTTAAATACCGCAAAGGGTCGGGATTTCCTGAGGGAAATGTTTCCATAAGTTTTGCATAACTCGCAAAGGGTATGAATCAATAACGGCAACAAGACGATATACAATAAAATTGAGAATGGAAATGGGGAATATGTCGAAGAGACAACAACCCGACCAAAGAGCAGACAACAGCCGAAGGCCACCAATGGGTCTTCAACGCAGCGAGAAAATCCCGCACCCGGAGGTGGTCCTCAGCTGGCCCCTTAATAAAATTGTGTACTAGTTCAGTGAAAATGGACGTCACACTAAACTCCAAAACATATAAATGAACTAAAATTAAAAAACATACAAGACTAAGTCGGTTTAGTAGCGAGTCTGCTGTATTTTGTGAAGAAATAAATTGATCGGAATGTGAATGATACATAGACCTAAAATTCTTTTTGGTCTATCCCAGTCATGACATTTGCGTGGGAATTTCTTCCATTGACGTCGTAATATAATTTACTTTGGATTATTGTTATCTTTAAATGTAATGTGATAGGATCTGTTTTTCCTTTTTTTTAAACCGCAAAATATCCCTCATTTTTTTTGGGGGGGGGGGGGGGGGTTGTTCCCAACCTGATTATTAGTGGAATTCTGAATCAGGCCATTACTCCTCAATTGTATTGATGCATACTTTTCATGTCAGGACAGTTTTCCTCATTTTTGAAGGCTGTATGCATGGTTGCCTATGATTGCTATATCATTTGAACCTCTGTAGATAGTTGTCTCATCATGCTCTGACATTGGCAATCATATATATTACATACATGTATTGTAATTTTTATATGTACAATGTATCCATCCTTTAGAAAAGTTGTTTCGAATGTAATGAATCCCCTCCAGATCCCGCTTTATAAGTTGAAAAGGCTACATCTTCTTTTTATCTTCTTTAGAACTTTTTTTTGGGGGGGGGGGGGGTCCCAACCTGTTGTTTATGAGTTGTAAATCCGGCCATTACTTTTCTCAATTTAATTGTTGCATATTTAACATGTCTGGACTGTTTTTTCTCATTTTTGAAGGCTGTATGGTTGCCTATAATTACTTTGTTATTTGAATCTCTGTGGATAGTTGTCTCATTGGCATATGACATATACTGATTTTTATATGGATTGCAGACCTGAAAAAGATGTTCAAAGTTGAATATGCTGCAAACTTCAAACAACCTACTACAACTTATTTACCATAAAATTTTTGCTCAGAACTATATATAATTGATTTCATCCCAGTCCTCATACATGTACATGTACCACTATCAATCAACAGAACAAATGCAAATAATTATGATGTCATGAAAGGTTTTTCTTAATAAATCTTGAATCTTTATATCAATATAAACTGAATCCCAATATAAACATGTTGGGCTCTTTACAGCAGAATATACAGTATGGGTTTTTCTCATTTTTGTACGCCTGTTTACGGGACGTATAATGGTATACCGTTGTCCGCCTGTCTGTCCGTCCGTTGTCAACATATCAGACATTAACTTAAAAACGCGTTAATAAAATTGCATAAAACTTTGGTGAATTGTTTATATCTATTGACGTGAACTCCCTTTCTTTTTTTTATAAATTTTAGATTTTACGTTTCCGAGTTTATTCTTAAAAAAAGGGGGATTTTCCAGTTTTCAGACTATAACTCAAAAATCTTTCAGCAGTTCTCATGAAACATTGGTGAACTGTTTATATCTAGTGATGTAAGCTGCTGCCTTTAGAATTTTATAAATTTTACATTTCCAAGTTATGGGGTTTTATATATTAAAAAGGGGGGATTTCCCAGTTTCGGATAATGTTTTCAGCAATTCTCATTAAACCTTGGTGAATTGTTTATATCTATTGATGTAAGCTCCCTTTTTGATTTTCATAAATTTCTAATATGACATTGATGAGAAGTAATTGAACTTTATTCTTTGTAAATGTGACGAGGGTATCATGCGCTTATGGCGCAGCTGTTTATTGAAGGTGGTATGCATATGGTTGCCTATAATTTCTTACATCCATTTTATTTGAATTTTAGGGAATATAGTTGTTATTTATATAAACAAATCCCACGTCGATATATTACATGTACAACAATCAGACAACAACCCACGCCAACCTGGATGTAATTGAAAGACATCTAGAGGTTAATATAGAGTCTCAAACAAAATACAAAATAAGGAAAAATATAGCGATTTTTTTAGAAGAATTATTATGAAATGTATTAGCAATATTAAAAATATATCGTTTAAAATATTTTGAATTTTAGGTTCCACCTAGCTACCATTTTAGAAAACTGGGATTTCATTGTGGCTAGTCTATTAGACTAGAGGGGTATTTCATTGGTTGTAGATATGGAATCTTATTTTATCATGAAGAGGAATGAAGGTGGAGTAAAGATCGAATGTCAGTTTCAGTGTTATATATGTATGTCAATTTTACTCTTATATATGTATACATATATTATTGATTCAGTGGTGATGGTAAATAGACACTGACAAGTCTAATAACATTTTAAATGTTTTGAATGTTTCTTGATCAGTTAAACTAAAATTAGATGGAGGCAATCTAATTAAAATATAGAACTCGGATTTCGTTATACTGCTCGTATGCAGTATAACGAAATCCGAGTTCTATATTTTAATTAGATTGAGGTGGAGGTATGTTCTTATTTCCGACAGAGGGGCACTCAACCTATATCAATTTGTGCATGAAGCAATTGATAGTTGCTAGATACTGAATGCTTTTACCACTAATTTGTGAAAGTTTTAACCGGTAAATACGATAATAAAATACATATCTTTTTCAGGACTTCTGATCCAACCATGTAGTATGGCATGTTATTGAGATATGGTTTTGGTCGATGGATGGTCATGAAGGACCTGTAGTACAATGTTTATCACTGGATTGAGCTCTTTGTCTGAGTGTATTATGAAAGTGCTTTGCTTTGAGCTCAGTTCATTGTTATGCAATTCATTCTTTGTGAAATAAAGATTTGACAGACAACTCTCATGTACAAGGAATTGTCAAAGTAGTATTCATTCTATGTATAATGTAATTAATAGGGAGATAAAAGTATTTTATTTAGATTTGAACCAAACATTTTTTGTCCATTAGCCAAATCTAAAAAAAGCACATATTTACCAAACAATGCTACTCGTGCTACTAGCAATGTGATGCTAGGTTGTTTTGTTACATTTTATTTTTATACATCTGTACTGCCTATTGACGACTCAGTCCTGAGTGTAAAGGGTCATTCAGTATGTTAAAAAAAAAGACCAAAATTCATAAGGCCTATCTGGCCTAATCGATTTCTAAAACTATATTTCATTGTACATGTTCAACATTTATCATTCATTTGTTTTTTTTCTTAATTTGTGTGGATTAACAGTAAATGTTAATTACTACAGTACACTTTCATACCACAACAAAACTGCCTTACTGTATTGGTATCACTTATATTTGTATCCATATAACAAAAAAAGAATATTTTTGCAATACCTTTTTCATATTGAATACTACAACTTTTTAGCTCTTTAGACAAATTAAGTAGATGTTCATATCCACTTTAAATTTTATCAGATGACTTCTGTAGCAGTTATGAGTCTTTGAAGCATACTCACAAAGGTTCTTTTGTTGATATCATTTTCATACTGGTCAAAACTTTTTTTTGCTTTGACCAGCTTTGGAAGGGATATTTTCAAAGAATTAATAAAAAATAACACAGTGGTTTACTTTCTAGCTCATCTAGCCCCAAGCATCATGTCAGGCATTGTCATTACTAAAAACCATTAAATGTCTTCTAATCTTAGAAACAATGTCGACATTTAAACAGAATCTTTTACTTATGATACTGATGATCCACCACAAAGTAATATAAATAGAACCATACAAATAGTAAGCAAATACATGTTCTAAGATACCATCTCCCGTATAAAAAAAAATCACATCATGAAAAAATGAACCTATTATGTGTTCCTCTCCTAGCTACAAAATTTATCCAAAATCAAAGATGTGGAACATATTCTATCATCATCATTTGGTAATTAATCCAATAAGTGTCTCTTTCATGCCCGTCTAGAACATAAAAACTAATATTAAATAAACAACACTCCTAATGCTCATGTTGGTTGTCATTGTGCTACACAGTTAATAATATAGAACCCTATGGGAAAAACATAGTACTTCTTTTGTCATATAAAACACTGTCAAACATCCAAACATACTATCCACACTGATCTGTGTCCACACTTGTTTGTGAAGAAAAAAAAAACAGTTTTAAATTTTTTTTATTTAATTTTTTTTTACCGAGCCAACTGCCTCGGTTGCCTCAACGTAAGCTACGCCAATGAGATCAGCGGAATATAACGACTGAATTATTGGGGTTATCCAAGACGTCATAATTATTTGGAACTTAATTTTGTAAAATCTGATGACAACTTTGGTAAGAAAAGGGAGTGAACTCAAAGGGACATCTACAAAAAGTAGTTCTAATCATTAGCAATTTAATGATTTGAAACGAAACATATTTTCTGTAATAAACAACATTTATGATATAAAATGAAAATTGATTTTATATCTAATCTGATATCTTTTAAATACTTTTGCATTTCGATTCACTTAATCAAAAATATAATTCTGCGGATGAATATTATTCAAAATGGTGGCCCTGTGTTGATTTGCTAGCAGTAAATACTGTGAGTCAATCTCACCTGCATGTCTGTGTCATTTTAAGCTAACTTTTACTTTCACTTCTTGTCTCGGTTTTTATCAAGCCCTGGTCGCATGTTGCTTGCTTACTGATTGTGCAGTGAATTTCAGTGCTCTATTGAGTATTGTCGATCGTGAACGGCGAAAATCTGTTGCCAGTGTTAGGGATGCTGCGAGTGTGGGACCACTCGAGGCACTTTCATGAAAAGAGTAGCCCTTATTAAATTAAATGTAGTTAATCTTAATAAATATGCAATACTTATTTTCCTCTTCTCGAATAAAGTTTTCTTACGTCGCAGTTGGTAGGGGTGATACATTTGTACACATGTATGTTTCCGAATGTGTTTTCCTAACTTTTGTTTTGGTTATTTTTGGCAAATTTCCAACATCAAAATGATATATACAATTGGGATCTCCCCTTTAATTTGTGATTTATTTGATTTTATATTTTCGTACTAAATGTATTAAAATAATTTATTGTTTTACCTTATCCTAGCTTACTACTGTGAGTCCAGCTTGCCTTGGAAAGACAATGTAGTAGATGTCTACAATACAAGTTAAGAATGTGTGTATATATTTTAAAATGGTAAAAAAGGAATTTTTTACAAAAAAAAAGCTTTATTAGGGGATTTTCTTAGGCATATTAGGTATATCTTCTTCCAGTTAGTCCAATGTTATTGCATCCCTAAGTATTGTCGAAACATTTTCATGCAATTTGAAAGAGAGCTTCATAATAATAACTATCTAATTCATTATTGCTGCATCAACTATCGGGTGAAACCCAAATTAAATATCAAATTTTATACCTATTTGTAAAAATGCTCAAGATTAAATCGTGTAATGCAACGGTTAAAAACTATGATTATAGTGACTTAAACTCAAATTCCTTAGGAATCAATCATACTACTTTTTAGCTCACCTTTCCAAAGGAAATGTGAGCTTTTGCCATCACTTGGCCTCGTCGTCTGTCCGGTGTAAACTATTTCAAACATCTTCTCCTCTGAAACTACTGAACTAATTCCAACCAAACTTAAGCTGAATGATCCTTAGGGTATCTAGAATAAAATTTGTGTTTTATTTTCTGTTTCGTCAAAAAACATGGCTGCCATGGCTAAAAATAGAACATAGGGGTAAAATGCAGTTTTTGGCTTATATCTCAAAAACTTAAGCATTTAGAGCAAATCTGACATGAGGTGAGCTTTTCTCATCACTTGGCGTCCAGCGTCCTGCGTCCGTCGTTTGTAAACTTTTACAAAAATCTTCTCCTCTGAAACTACTGGGCCAAATTTGACCAAACTTGGCCACAATCATTATTAGGGTATCTAGTTTAAAAAATGTGTCCGGCCATCCCGCCAACCAACCAAGATGGCCACCATGGCTAAAAATAGAACATAGGGTAAAAATGTAGATTTTGGCTTATAACTCTAAAACCAAAGCATTTACAGCAAATCTGACATGGGGTAAAATTGTTCATCAGGTCAAGTTCTATCAGCCCTGAAATTTTTAGATGAGTCTTAACAACCAATTGTTGGGTTGCTGCCACTAAATTGGTAATTTTAAGGACATCTTGCAGTTTTTGGTTATTATCTTGAATATTATTATAGATACTGTAAAGATAAACTGTAAACAGCAAAAATGTTTAGCAAAGTAACAGACCCCTTAAGGAGTTATTGCCCTTTGAGGACAATTTTACACAATTTGTTTATCATGTTTTCTAATTTTAAAAATCTTCTCCTCTGAAACTACTGAACCAAGTTAAACCAAAATTTAGCTAAATGAAAGTTTGTGTTTTATTTTCTGTTTCCTCAGAAAACATGACCGCCATGGCTAAAAATAGAACATAGGGTAAAATGCAGTTTTTGACGTATCACAAAAACTAAAGCATTTAGAGCAAATCAGACAAAAAGTTAAAGTATTCATTAGGTCAAGGTCTACCTGCCCTGAAATTATAAGCCAAATTGGGTATCTGATTTTGAGGTTATTGCCCCTGAATTGATGATTTTAAGGAAATTTTGCAGTTTTCGGTTATTATCTTGAATATTATTATAGATAAAGATAAACTGTAGAAAGATAAAATGTTAAGCAGGAGTAAGATCTACAAATAAGTTTTATGTGACCAAAATTATCAGTTGACCCCTTAAGCATGTTAAGGAGTTATTGTCCTTTAAAGACAATTTTTCACAATTTGTTCATCTAGTTTGCCTACTTTTAAATATCTTCTCCTTTGAAACTGCTGAATCAATTTCAGCCAAACTTGGGCTGAATGAGTTTCAGAGTATCTAGTATAAATTTTGTATTTTATTTCCTTGTACATCAAGAAACATAGCCACTATGGATAAAATGGAACATAGGGGTAAAATGTATTTTTTTGCCTTTGAAGAAAATATGACAGATACAAAGAACATTTAAATGGCATTTTTAAGCCACTCATTGGTATATATTGAAAAGCAAAAATAAACATTGATGAAAGATTTAAGCAAAAAATTACAGGTGAGCGATTCAGGCTCTTGAGAGCCTCTTGTTTTTAAAAGAAATAAAAAAATAAAATGAAAGTTTCATATGGTCTTTATATTATTATATTATTGTAAGAACTAAACATTACAGCATCATGAGCAAGCAAGAACTTCTCTTTTAAGTCTCACCACTTATCAGTTTTAAAAAGAGAAGTCACTACTCCCTATGACTCTGAAATAGTGTGATTCCTGGATACAGGTTGTTCTACTGACTATTACATTATCAAATGACAGTAAACATGGTAAAGAACATTTTTTTTAAACCATACTTGTTAAATGTTGTGTCATGAAGAATAATGGTTTAATTCCGCATGAAATTAATGCCCAATTTATGATTAAGCTGGAAAAGAATCGAATTCACTGTCAAAGGTTGTTGAAAAGTATGGTCTATCTGGTAAATTTAAGTTTTTATGCCTCTGCCGCGGAGGAGGGGGCATTAAGTGTCACTTTTACATTTGTACCTTTCTAGAGTTATGCCCCTTTACAAATGGAAAAATTGCTGAATTTTTCGTTTCAGTTTTCTTACTTAAGTTTCCCTCAACCAAATGTTATGAAACTTATACACAATGCTTATTACCACAAAACTCAGATCAAGTTCTAATTTGGGTAGTGTCACTTTTAAATTTCTCAAACTATTTCCCTTTATACCATTATATGCAAGAGGGGTCATCATCTGTGTCTCATGGACACATTCTCCATTTATTTTTAACTCACCTGGGCCAAGTGAGCTTTTCTCATCACTTGGTGTCCGTCGTCCGTAAACTTTTACAAAAATCTTCTCCTCTGAAACTACTGGGCCAAATTTGACCAAACTTGGCCACAATCATTATTAGGGTATCTAGTTTAAAAAATGTGTCCGGCCATCCTGCCAACCAACCAAGATGGCCACCATGGCTAAAAATAGAACATACAATGTAGGGTAAAAATGTAGATTTTGGCTTATAACTCTAAAACCAAAGCATTTACAGCAAATCTGACATGGGGGTAAAATTGTTAATCAGGTCAAGATCTATCTGCCCTGAAGTTTTCAGACAAATCTGACAACCTGTTGTTGGGTTGCTGCCCCTGAATTGGTAATTTTGAGGAAATTTTGTGATCTGTCATATGTCCATTGCCCTTGACCTCATTTTCATGGTTCAGTGACTACATGTACTTGAAAAAAAAGTCAACATTTTTTGTAATGTTAATTTCTTTCTTATTATGAGTAATAGGATAACTATATTTAGTATGTGCGTACCTTGCAAGGTCCTCATGCCCGTCAGACAATTTTCATTTGACCTCGACCTCATTTCATGGATCAATGAACAAGGTTAAGTTTTCGTGGTCAAGTCCATATATCAGATACTATAAGCAGTAGATCTACTATATTTGGTATATGGAATAATTGTAAGGTGTACATGTCCAACTGGTAGGTGTCATCTGACCTTGACCTCATTTTCATGGTTCAGTGGTCAAAGTTAAGTTTTTTGAGTTTGGGCTTTTTTTCTAATACTATATGCAATAGGTCAACTATATTTGGTGTATGGAAATATTTTATGATGTACATGTCAGTTTGGCAGGTTTTATTTGACCTTGACCTCATTTTCATGGTTCATTTCTCAGTGTTAAGTTTTTGTGTTTTGGTCTGTTTTTCTTCAACTATAAGCAATAGATCAACTATATATGAAGGATTGTAAGGTGTATATGTCTGTCTGGCAGGTATCATCTGACCTTGACCTCATTTTCATGGTTCATTGGTCAATGTTAAGTTTTCATGGTTAAGTTTGTTTCTTAGATACTATAAGCAATAGGTCAACCATATTTAATGCATAAATTGATTGTAAGGTGTACATGTCTGCCTGGCATGGTCCGTGTTTAAGCTAGGATTTTGAGGGCTTTAGTCACTTTTTCGCGGGATGAAAATCAACCTTATTTTTGGTAGCAGCAAGGGACCTAGGATGTATATTACTATCTATACATCTTTGTCAGACTTTGAAGGACTTAGACATAGTAGGCAGTTACTGCATGATTTGACTGATGTGGCACTTTATTACGGGAAGTGACAAGTGAATCATAAATTCAGAATGAATCCGGATTCATCTACGGATTGGTTCGTGTTTAAAAAAGGCAGGAAATTATCATTTTTTTTAATTAAATTTGCTTAATAAGAACTATATTTGTCTCTCTCGTTTAGTTTGATACTTAATTATTTCGTATTTTACATTTTAGTGTCTTTAAATTCATAAAAAGACTTTCGCACATGCTCAGTTCATTGTAAAGGAAGCACCTGTTTGACTCGTGAAAACATTTCTGAATGTTATGAATAAAGTTCTATCTTTTTAATCGAAATTGTCGAAAGTTTTTTTTATTTAAAGTTATATCAAATATGACGAAAATACGTTCATTTGACGAACTACGACAAGCGAATTGCAAATTGTGATCGTTTGAGAAATATTGAAATTAAAATGCGGAACTGTCTGAGGGAAAACTCAAAT